GCTGGGAATTGAACCCCAGTAATTTAGAGGAGCAGCCAGTGCTCTTAACTGCTGAGCCATCTCTCCAGGCCCAATCTTAAACTTCTAATCCTCCTGCATCATACACATAGGCATGAAATAAACAAATGAAAAAAAGATGACTAAAAAACCCCTTAATTTTCATTGATTGGTTGTGTGTGTGTGTTGTGTGGAGATCACAGGGAACAGCCTCTGAGAGTCTGTTTCACCACGTGGGCCCCAGGGGCCGATGTGAAGTCATCAGTCTTGGAGACAAGCTGTGCTACCCATTCCCCACAATGAAAAAAGAATTAAAAAAAAAAAAAAAAGAAAGCTGAGCACAGTAGCTCTGTAATCCTAGCACTGAGGCTGAGGCAGGAGGACAGCCACGACTTTGAAGCCAACCTGACTTCACAGTGAGTTCCAAGCCAACTAGGGCCAGCTATAGAGTGAGGTCTCATCTCAAAAACACAGAGAGAGCCGGTAGTGGTGGCGCACACCGGTAGGATTTGCTGAAGGAGGCAGAGGCAGGAGGATCACGAGTTCGAGGCCAGCCTGGGCTACACATATTTTGCCGGGCAGTGGTGGCGCATGCCTTTAATCCCAGCACTCGGGAGGCAGAGGCAGGCGGATCTCTGTGAGTTCGAGACCAGCCTGGTCTACAGAGCTAGTTCCAGGACAGGCTCCAAAACCACAGAGAAACCCTGTCTCGAAAAACAAAAAAGCAAAACAAAACAAAAAAAAAAACACAGAGAGAAAAAGAATTTTTTTTTTTTAAATATGGAACGCTTCACGAATTTGCGTGTCATCCTTGCACAGGGGCCGTGCTAATCTTCTCTGTATTGTTCCAATTTTAGTATATGTGCTGCCGAAGCGAGCACGAGAAAAAGAATTTTTAAAGGGCCAAGTGAGGCAGGAGGATCTCAGATTTGGCTGGAAAGAGACCTTGCCTTAACACAAGCAAAGGTTAGGGATGTGTCTGGGGCGGTACAGACTGTGATCTTTAGGGGTGAAGCATTGGCTTCTACCCGCACAGTGGCACACTGTAACCCTAGCCCTCAAGAGGTAAGGCAGGTGGAACATGAGAAGGGCATTTTCGGCGACTTAATAAATTCAAGGCTAGCCTGGACTACATGAGCTCCTATCTCAAAACCAACGACAAACCAGAAGCAAGCACGTGGCAGCCACGGACACTCAGTTGTTGCACGCTTCATGGACAGTCTCTGTCATGCGAGCAGGGAACCCTGCTCCCCCATTTCCCATGAGAAGCCCATTCTGGCCCCCAGGAGACCTAGAGCCTATGGCTGTACCTGTGGAGGCCTCTCTCTCTGGAAAGGTGACAGGCTCTTCTGGAGGAGGGGGTAGCTCCTCTTTCGAGGGTCTGAGGTCACTGGGCCGAGGCCGGACAGAAGATTCCTTTGGAAGAGGCTGTGGGGACACAGAGTGAGGAGACAGAAGAGAGGTCAGCTGGTAGGGACCCCACCAGAACCTCCCAGCTTGGCTTTTTGTCTGGGTGACTCCAAGAACAATTGGTTACATTGTACAGATGAGGAAACTGAGGCTGGAGATGCAAGTGTCCTGCCTCTATAGCTTAGCAGGAAGGTTGCTATGTAGCAAGAGCTAGGACTTCCCTGCTTCCTGCCTGGGGCTCCCTCTTCCAAAGTGACTCTCTCCTGCTAGCTAGGTAAACACTCCATCACTTCTAACTATATCCCCAACATTTTATTTTTTTTAACTTTTTAGTTGGAGATAGGGTCTCAAAAGTTGCCCAAGCATGGCCTTGATCTCACTTTGTAGTCCAGGCTAGGCCTTGTGATTAACCTCCTTAGTGTCTGGGATTATGGTCCACAACCATCAGGCCCAGTTTGACTCCTGTTTCTGAAAACTTCCTGGGAATGACGCGTCCCACCCACCAACGCTGAGCTGGAGGTGACAGAGACCTTGGCCCCGGACACCATCCCATTGACAACCCTCTCTACGAAGGGCAGAGGATTAATCAGCTGTGTGTGTGGTGTAGAAATTTGGGTTGGAACCCGTACAGGTCTTGGGGCAGAATGGGTAATTAAAGAACTAAGGGGGCAAGGGACACGGCCAGGGACCTTGGAAAATCCCAGTTTCTACCAGCTTTGGGGCTCGAACAAGCTTTGAAGACCAACTGCCTTCAAACAGGAGGGACCAAATTATGCCCACCTTGATAATGTTGGAAAGGCCAGGTCCCCTCCCATGGCCAGGAGCCAAGGCTTGGGGACACTTGCAGTACCTGTGTTAGAGGCGGAGGTGGGGGCGGGGGCAGGTGCAGTTGCTCCAAGTCAGAAATGAGCGATGTTCCGGTCAAGGCAGGAGGCTCCTCTTCTGGGAGAGGCAGGTAGGCCGAAGGGGGTGGTGGGGGAGGCGGGAAGAGGTCTAAGTCCTCATCATTCAGGGGAGGAGGCGGGGGAGGGCACCCTACAGTGGAAGAAAAGAAGGGTTGCCCAGATTCCCGCAGGGCACAGGGCTCCTCACCCAGAAGGCCAAGCGGCAGTGTGTAGAGGCTGGGTTCTGGCTCCAGGCCTCAGCCCACCTTGGACTACAGTCTCTGTCTTGCTATGGGGCCTTCGGCATGAGTGTCAACTCTTTGAGTCTTAAATTGTTCCTCTGGAAAGTTAGCAACGCCAGGGGTGATGCACACCTTTAATCCCAGCACTCGGGAGGCAGAGGCAGGAGGATCTCCATGAGTTTGAGGCCAGACTAGTCTAGAGAGTCTACACCGAGAAACCTTGTTGTCGGGTGGCGGTGAGGGGTGGGAGTAAAGAAAAGAAGAAGAAAGCTAGGCATGGCAGTACTACTCTTGGAAGCTGAGGCAGAAGTCAGTTTGGGCTACATGGCTCTTGCCTATAACCCCAGTATTAAACCTTGACGACTGATTAAAACTGGATCTGGAGAGGAGGGGCTAAATACAAAATAAAACAAAAGAATGTGCTTTAAACAAAAATAAAAGGAGGGGGCTGGAGAGATGGCTCAGAGGTTAAGAGCACTGGCTGTTCTTCCAGAGGTCCTGAGTTCAATTCCCAGCAACCACATGGTGGCTCACAACCATCTGTAATGAGATCTGGTGCCCTCTTCTGGCCTGAAGGCAAACATGCAAGCAGAACACTACATAATAAATAAAATCTTTTAAAAAAAAAAGGGCGGGGGGGGGGGGGAGGAAGAGGATGCACCATCGTGGGGATTTAGTGGGTAAAGGAACTTGCTACCCCTGACAACCTGACCTTAATTTGATCCTTAGGACCCAAAGGATGGGCGAGAAGAGACTCCTCCAGGTTGCCCTCTGACCTGAGGCACACACATATAAGTAAAGGTGGGGAAAAGACGCTGACCACAGAAGGACAAGTACCGAAAGCGCTAGACTTCTCAGAGCCTGAAGACGGGGGTTCTAGCACCAGGCCCATTCTCAGCTAATTCTCACAGTCACTTCCCTGGGGTCAGATTTCCCAGCCTCTCCAGGGCTGAATGGACCTTACAAATAGACGTGTGTTCTAGATGGGCCCCGAGGAAGCAGCAGAATGGCAGAATCGTGGAGGCCAGATTGGATCACTGTCGTGGGCCAGAAGCCTCACCTCCTGGTCCAGGACAAGTGTCCTGTAGACATTCATCAAACAGACACAAGAGCATTAGCAGGTTCGGGTGCAGCTGCGTGGAAGGAAAGCTCGGCTCTCCTCCTTTTTCCCCCTTTTCTCACTAGTTCTCATCACGGCACCCAGCTTCTAGCTCCCAAACCTTCCTCAGCAGCCACCTGAGAGCTGGGATTTCAGGCCTGTGCCACCACACCCAGAAGGAGAAGAGCTCCCGCTGCACTTGGCGACGACAGTCAGTCATGGATTTCAAAACAGCTAACAGGATTCTGAGCGTTCCCACCCCAAGAAATAAGCATTCGAGGCAGTGGACATGCCGGTTACTCTAACCTGACGATGGCATGCTGCCTTCAGGCTGTAACACACGCTACAGCATCCCACAAACACGAACCATTACCATGGGTCAATGGGAGTGTGTTTTGTGGGACACGGCCACTGCTCAGGGGGCAAAGGTGCCTGCTGCCTAGTCTGAGGACCCGAGTTCCATTCTCAGGGCCTACAAGGCAGAAAAAGAGAACAAACTCGTACAGTTGTTCTCCGAGCTCACATACAAATGCCATGGCACACATACAATAAAAAAATGTAATTTAAAATTGATTTTTTTTTTTTTTTGGTTTTTTCGAGACAGGGTTTCTCTGTGGTTTTGGAGCCTGTCCTGGAACTAGCTCTTGTAGACCAGGCTGGTCTCGAACTCACAGAGATCCACCTGCCTCTGCCTCCCGAGTGCTGGGATTAAAGGCGTGTGCCACCACTGCCCGGCTAAAATTGATTTTAAAAAGGGGGGCTAGAGAGGTAGCTCAGCAATTAAGCCATGTACTGCTCTTTCCCCCCCCCCCCCCCCCGAGACAGAATTTCTATGTAGCTTTGGAGCCTGTTCTGGAACTAGCTCTTGCAGACCAGGCTGGCCTCGAACTCACAGAGATCCACCTGCCTCTGCCTCCCGAGTGCTGGGATTAAAGGCGTGTGCCACCACTGCCCGGCTAAAATTGATTTTAAAAAGGGGGGCTAGAGAGGTAGCTCAGCAATTAAGCCATGTACTGCTCTTTCCCCCCCCCCCCCCCCCGAGACAGAATTTCTATGTAGCTTTGGAGCCTGTTCTGGAACTAGCTCTTGCAGACCAGGCTGGCCTCGAACTCACAAAGCTCCACCTACCTCTGCCTCCCGAGTGCTGGGATTAAAGGCATACACCACCACCACCATGTACTGCTCTTATAAAGGATCCCAGTTCAAGACCCAGCCCTATATCAGGCAGCTCTCGGCAACCTGTAGCTCCAGGGGATCCTGTGCCCTCTTCTGGCCTCTGAAAGTACTGCACTTGCATGTGCACAAACCCACACACAGATACAACCCACACGCAGATGCATGCACACATAAAAATGAGATAAATCTGGAGCTGGTGGGTCTACAGAGTGAGTTCCAGGACAGCCAGGGCTGTTACACAGAGAAACCCTGTCCCAAAAAACCAAAGTAAATGAATGAATGAAAAGATTCACTACAAAGTGTAATCAGTATCCAGAAAAGAAGAAAAAGGCAAATTAAAACCTCAATTCCACCTCTGCGGTGGGGCCCAACTGTGTTGGAAAAAGCACAGAGGAGACACTGGTGTGCTGACCAGCTAATGGGAGTTTGGGAACCAAATTCTATGCAAGCTTGCAAGTCAGAATCCAGCTCTCTCAGAGGCATCGAAGGCTGGCTTCTCTCCTACCTATCTATGTCTCACTTCTGGGACGATGAGCTGAGGGAGATCAGCAAGAACGTGAGTGGGGAGAGGCGTGAGTAGCTCAGCCGAGAAAGGTACTTAACACCAAGGCTGATGGCTTGAGTTCCATCCCAAAGACCCACAGGGTGGAAACTCTCTTTCTTCTTCTCTCCAACTTGCTTGGTTGTCCTCTCTCCTCCATATAGCACACACATAGACACTCACAGACACACAGACACACACACACACAATTAAAAGTGAATCATAAGGCTAGTGAAATGACCCAGTGGGGAAAGACACTTACTACCAAGCCTGCCGATCTGAGTTCAATGCCCAGGACCCATACAGGGACTGAAAGGAGACCACCACCCACAAGCTGTCCACTGATGTCTACACACACACACACACACACACACACACACACGCACACACACACTCCCACGCATGTGCTCCAGCACACAGAAAGAAAGAAATCGCACAGCAGGTAAGCTGTGATGTCCAAGAACAGAATGGGAACATCTTTTAAACCCTCCAAGCTCATTCGTCTCAGGGCCTCCATAACTATTTCCACTTCCCCCGACTGGCAGCGGCCTCAGAGAACCCTCCTCAGAGCAGCCACAGAAAGAGCTAGCCCTTCTGGGTGGCACCGGGCTCCCTTGTAAGGCTTGCTCTTTTGACATTTGATACGCTTTGTTCTCTCTTCTTTCCTTCCTTTCTTTCTTTTTGGTTTTTCCAGACAGGGTTTCTCTGTGTGGCTCCGGCTGTCCTGGAACTCGCTTTGTAGACCAGGCTGGCTTCAAACTCAGAGATCCTTCTGCCTCTGCCTTCCAAGTGCTGGGATTAAAGACTTGTGCCACCACCGCCTGGCTCAATATGTATTTTTCAATTGTTACTTTACTTAGTGTGCTTGTGTGTATCATGTTTGTGTGCCACGTCCACAGCAGTGACTGCCGTGTAGTGACAAAATGCCTCTGCGCTGGCTTTCGCCTGCTGAAGGATTGGGGTTAGAGCTTCCTGGAGTGAAGCCCCAGGTGGTCCCCTGGCAATCAGTGGTCAAGATAGGACCTGATGCCTTAGGCAGATCTCGTATCTGGAAATGGCCTTGAGAGCGAGCCCTCCTGGCACCCTGCATGATCTTTCTCTGTATTTCTTATCTTTCCTGTTTTCAGCTGACTGCTCACCAAGAAATCAAAGTATGTCCTTGGCTCGGCCCCACCGTTCTTTAAGCAGTCCTTGAGGAACTGAAGCATGCCCCACGCCACATGAGCCTTGGAAACTTTATTAATAATAAAACAGAAGAATAAAAGACTATATAGACAAAAGCTAGACCCAGGACTCTGAGAACTAGTCCCCCACGGTAGAATATGGTTAGTGGTGTGAGACAGAATTCTAAGAGACAAAACTAAAAGTCCTTGCCAACACCTTGAGCACGTAGAAGGAGTTCTATTTTGATTATGCTTAGCCTTGATTTATGTCTGGAACCCTGAATGGGGTGATGCAGTGAGCCTGCCAAGTTCTTTGATCTGTTTTGTACATAAACTGAAGCTTTGCAGAAGTAAAATTGCAGCAGATTTTCACTACCAGTGTGTCTGTCTGTCATTCCCTTGCGTCGTATCCTGGCTATCCTATCCTTCACCCTGTTCTCCCGTGGATAGTGGTCTCCAAGAGGGACGGTCCGCGGCAGGTGGCGCTCGGAACAGGGACGTGAAGGATAGGTAAGCTTTTCCCCCTTCTCTTTTTCTTTCCAATAGTCAGGAACGACTCTCACCAGGACGCTGCAGGTTCGCCGGTAAAGGATCACCGGTTAAGTGTGAGTAATCTAAGTATAAGGGAACCATGGGGCAACATATGACTAAGAGCGATAAAATGATGGTAATTATGCTGCGGCGACAGTTAGCCAAAGCAGGATTTCAGGTCGCAGAAGACGACATGGTAACTTTTACCAAGTTCCTGAAAAAGGTCAGCCCTTGGTTCACGGAGGAAGGGACCTTATCGCTAGATGAATGGAAGCGTGTGGGTAAGGAAATGAGGCGCTATGTGCGTGAGAATGGGGAAAAAACTTTACCTACCTATGCTTATCAAATATGGTTTCAGATCCGAGAACTGCTGTCGGAAATTTCCCCCTTTGAAGGCTT